CAGGGAGCCCGATGCGGGACTCGATCCCGGGACTCCAGGATCATGACCTGAGCCGAAGGCAGTCGCTTAACCAACTGAGCCACCCAGGCGCCCTGGCTTTCAACCCTGTTCTGGCACTTAATGGCAGTGTAAATCTGAACAAGTAACTTCACCTTTCTGAGCCATAATTTCTGAGCTTCCACATTAATATGGCAGGAACTGTGCCTTCTAGACACTTTATCAAATAACACTTGGCTTAATCCTCCCTAACTGCCATCCATGTTAGATTAAGCAAGTCAATATGTGTCAAGGCACTCAATGAATGGAACACTTTTCTGACCTGTAAGAGTCTAGGCCTAGTGAATGGATAGAAACACCAAGAACTATAAATATTACCCACAGGCATGGAAGAAATTCTTTTGATCTAGGCCTAGAGGAAGGTTGAGGACAAGAGGAAAAACAGAACATACTGAACAAAAAGAATACTAGTACCACCTTAGTTCTGATCAGTATCAACAGCTGACTCTTGAACACGCAGGGGTTAGGGGCGCCAGCTCTGGTGCAATCGAAAATCTGCATATCACTTCTGACTCCCTAAAAACTTAACTAATAGCCTACTGTTAACCAGAAGCCTTACCAATAACATAAACAGTCAATTAACACATATTTTGTATGTCCTATGTCTTAAAGTAAGCTAAAGGACAAAAATATTATGAAAATCATAAGGAAGAGAAAATACGTTTACAGTATTTATTAAAAAAAAAAAAAAAAAAAATCCGTGTATAAGGGGACCTGCACAGTTCAAACCTGTGTTGCTCAGGGGTCAACAATATTAACAAGGCTTTCAACTCAGTCTACTGGGGTGATATACTTCTTTTTGTAATAAATAAAGCCGGGCAGGTCTTAGGAGTCAAATAATCTTTATTTTAACAAAAGTGTTAAAGTAAGGGGCGCCTGGGTGGCTCAGTCGTTAAGCATCTGCCTTCAGCTCAGGTCATGATCCCAGGGTTCTAGGATCTAGCCCCGCATCGGCCTCCCTGCTCAGCAAGGAGCCTGCTTCTCCCTTTCCCTCTGCTGCTCCCCCTGCTTGTGCTCTCTCTCTCCCTCTGTCAAATGAATAAATACTCCTAAAAAAAAAAAAAAGTGTTAAAGTGAGTACTCCAAGATCAAAGGCATATCTTGAATAAGAAACCAAGTCTCATAGTTGCTGGCAGGTGCTTGTAACACCACAAATATGCAAAAACCTATGCTTTTTCCTGGGATCAAGTCCTTATTCTGCCACCAAAAACTGATTTTTAGCAGCTTTTTGTCCATAATACGAGAATGATGACAATAAATCTCTCTACTTAGCTCTCAGAGTCATCATTTAAAGGAAAAAATGTGTGAAACCCTAAAAATACTAAATAAATGTTAACAGTGACAATAATGATTTAATATCTTAGCTGTCTTAAAATACCCTAATAATTTTTTTAAATTTCCTTAGATGATACAAAAAATATATGTAACATAAAATAAGGTAACTATATATCTGATTTTCTAATGTCTGAAAACAGGCCAACAAATTGATTATAAATAGAAGAGTCTTATTTCTGTACAAAACACTCCACCCCAATATTTATGCTTCAAATACATGTTATTCTCTTAATTCATTATTTCTCCAATAATGTGTATTAAGGGGAGGAGTTCCTTCTGTTCGTTTAGATGACCTGTGTTGGGGCGCCTGGGTGGCTCAGTCGTTAAGCGTCTGCCTTCGGCTCAGGTCATGATCCCAGGGTCCTGGGATCGAGCCCCACGTCAGGCTCCCTGCTCCTCGGGAAGCCTGCTTCTCCCTCTCCCACTCCCCCTGCTTGTGTTCCCTTTCTCGCTGTGTCTCTCTCTATCAAATAAACAAACAAAATCTTTAAAAAAAAAAAAATAGATGACCTGTGTTGCCAGCATTTTTAACTTATGTATTTTTCTAACCGAAGCTAAAGCTGGTTTGGGTCCACACCTTCTGATCCAGTAAGTTCAGTCACTCCCTCAGGCATTCTGAGGGAGAATACAAAAATATTTACTTCAATAATTGATTGAATGATGGGAGGACAGAAACATTTATCAGTAAGGAGAAAAAAGGTGATTGATCTCACATACCTACTTACCTCCTCCTAAAAAATATAATTCATGTTTCTTTTTAAAATAAAAACACTAAAATAATCACATATTAACTTAGATATAAACATGGATCCCAAACCTCTGTGAACTTAGAAAACCTAAACTAAGCAATCTAATAAAAATATTTCGAAGAGAGTCATGACAAAGTTTATGAATCTAGAGGAAAGTCTCCATTTAAAAAGTTTTATAAGAACTGAAATAATTCAAACTTTTGGGAAAGATAAATGGTTTACCTGAACAATTTTTACCAACTATAACTGTTTACTCCACATGATTTTAGACTCTACCCAGGGCACTCTATTAGAGGCCATTTCTTAGTTTTTGGAAAGTATTCTCTATTCAACCCCTTTACTCAACTGGCATTTAAGCTTTCATATTGGTCCTTCCTTCTATATTTTACCCCTTTCATACTCTGATTTTTGTGTTTTCCACATATACCCAGGGATGTAGATCCTCAATCATTCTGGGTTATTTCCTCTCATTCAGGCCAATCTGCTAAAATTCTAAGTGGTGACTTTTCCATTTGTGCCACAGAGAAAAATACCAGTAAGATGAGCCAGGGGGAAGTCGCTCCGAGATTCTTTCTTAGGTGTTGACGATGGCTGAACTGGCAGCCAGAACAATTCTAGAATTCAGTATGATATGATCACAATGTTGTTGAAAACTCCTGGTTCAGTATGATCTGACCTCTAAATACCTGTCTCTGATTTCCTGAAGGGTTTTATTTAGTCCTTACGAGAAACACTCCTCTACATGCTCCATCACTGCAGCCATTAATTTTCTTCTGTTCTTTCTACCAGTTTATATAGGACTTTTTCTGGATGAGCAGCAAGTTCACTGCACTAATACAAATGTGACCTTCTTACCTTACCCTAAAGAAACCACACAGAATATGCAGAGCCATTTTGTTGTTACATGAAGGAAAACTGTCGAATACACACTTTACTATATTTCTGGGCCTCCTGCAAAGGAGCAACTCAGTTTTTTAAAAACTGCAACACAACTGGCACTATCTTGTTCTCTCGAGTTACCTTTCTCAGGTTTTAATTCTTCCAGATAAAAGCTTAAAAAACTTGAGAGCACTTTTTAAAATGTCCTTAATGCAAAAACTGGCATCAAACTTTAATAGTTAAGGCTTTTTATAAAATATAGCATAACACTTAAAAATGTTTAATGTGAAGGTGCTATGGTATTTAAAAAGAGTGTTTAAAAGAACAGAAATCCTCAGTTCTAATCCCAGCATAACTGACAGCTAGGTGTGGAACCTAAGGCTGGTCGCCAAATCTCTCTGCCACTCTCCTTTGTTTCATTAATATAAAGTGAGCTTTCAACAGGCATCTCTGAAATCTAAATTATAAGATCCCAAGAAAGGATGGATTCAAGATAAAGCCCACTTTTCTACTAGTTTCAGCTACAACTATTGAAAGAAATTACCTGACTTCTTTTATGTTTACTAAGTTGCTAAAATGTGGGAACCAGTAAGTCTAGATACAGTCGTAAGGTTGAAGAAAGCAAATTTTCCTGATGAACAGACAAATATTTCAACTGGGGGTATTTTCAAAAGTATTTTATCTGTGTAAAGATGGACAATACTAATATGCCCAAAGATTTTCATGGAATGATGTAAACTTTCTCTGGTTCAAAAATACTGGGTTAAAGGTTACTTCTTGGAGCTTTCAGAACTGGAGGATATGCAAAGAGTTAATCAACTAGCATACTGTTTTCACGAAGATTTTTCTAAAATGGATTTTGAGACTTTTATAGCCAGAAACAATTAGGGAATACTTGTTTCACTATTTCCTTTAGACCAGAAGATGACTATATATTTAAAATAAAATTGCAATACGAAAGTCTGCTAAAAGCACTTTTTTTGTTGTTTGTGCATTTTGTTTGTCACCCAATGTCATACTAACAACTCTGCATCTCATTCTAAAGCACATTATACTGCGAGATAAAATGAAAAAGACCATTTCTTGTTTCCCCAAGGGGGAAGTACTTCTGTTAAAAGCATCTTTTTATGAGACTACTCTTTCTGAATTACCAATAATGCAAACCAAAGAATTAGATACTGTACTCTAAAATTTAATATTTGTTCAATTCTTATTCATATCCTATAGGCATCCCATGTGTACAAGGGAAAAGTATGCTAAATGCTTAAACGTACTTAAGAACCTGAAAGACTGAACATTTCTGTCCTTCAATCAGCAGGCTGTCAGGTCATGAGCACTCATTTTACAATAAAAGTTTTGCTGTCTTTCCTATTATTGTAACTCGGCTCAGTTAAGGAGACTGGTCCACAAAGAAAATGGCTTGGGGCGCCTGGGTGGCTCAGTCGTTAAGCATCTGCCTTCGGTTCAGGTCAGGATCCCAGGGTCCTGGGATCGAGCCCCGCATTGGGCTCCCTGCTCCTTGGGAAGCCTGCTTCTCCCTCTCCCACTCCCCCTGCTTGTGTTCCCTCTCTCGCTGTGTCTCTCCCTGTCAAATAAATAAATAAAATCTTTAAAAATAAAAAAGAAAATGGCTTGATTATGTATAACTTCATCTGGAATAAGGCTAGACAAACTAATTTCAAATGTTATATGCAAAATCAAGAACTAAAGAGTGTTTTGAAAAACTTAAAAATAATGAACTACTTAAAACTACACCCGCAAGTTTGAATATCAAGATCAGAGATACAGTCAGAAATGAAATTAAGATGAAAGAAATCTACTATGTTTTTAAAAATGCTTACCCGATTCTTAACTATCATTTAAATCAACTCTATTTTCTCAGAAGATCTATTGCTCAGAAATAAGTTTGCCTTCCCAAAGAATTCAACTAGATGTGTGCAGAAACTTATTCTGGATCTCCGAACCATTACAAATCTGTAAAAGGCAAAACCTAACCTTGAACATCTTTCTTCTTCTGATGTCCAGCTAGCAATGGCCAGAAATAATGAGTTCTGACAGGAAAACCTTCTTCCTTCAGAGCCTTCATCAGAGCTTTTGCCAAATCTGAAAGAGATACCATAAAATATTACACAGCTACCTCAGCAAAACTTATTTATGTCAGTTTTAATGATGAAAATATAGTACCGGTTTTACTGGCTAGTAAAGCGCTCTGAAGTGTGAATTGCAAAGGAGATGTGTGCATCTGGGACTCCTTTAACTTCCTGCAGTAGTCTTTCAGCTTCTCTGCAGGCTAGGAAAAAAAGGCACCACATCAGCTGGATCCACAAAGATCCTACCATTTGACCTTCTGCAAACATCCTACAACTTCTGGGATGAAAAATTTGAACCTCTCATCCTCTTTCTACCCGATAAACTTACATACAGAAACAAAGTTTTCATAATGCTTATAATTGGTCTAATCTCATAATATGTTCTTACATTTTGCAGACTCTTATTTTACTATTACACGGTCTACCAAGTAAAAACAGACAGAATACCGTATTCATAGTCACACAGTGTCGCAAAAAGAAACTGCCAAAGTCACTCAGACTGTCTTCCCTTGATACAGGACATGCTAATAAAATTTGGAATGCTGTATCTTCCAATTTTTCGGTGACTAAAAGTAAAATGAGGTTCATTGCATCTGGGAAGAGAACAAAGACATTTTCTGTTACCAAACTGAATAATATTTTTATACTGCAACCACTATGAAAGACAAACTTAATGAACTGCAAATACCAAAAGGATCTATCTGCCTAAATAATAGTGAAACACTTCCAAATCAAAACATTCCCATGTGTTCATTAACTCAAGCTGTTTAGCTTATTAAGCTGACTTTTAAAAAATTTTTTATTGTTATGTTAATCCCCATACATTACATCATTAGTTTTAGATGTAGTGTTCCATGATTCATTGTTTGTGCATAACACCCAGTGCTCCATGCAGAACGTGCCCTCTCTAATACCCATCACCAGGCTAACCCATCCTCCCCGCCCATTAAGCTGACTTTTAAAAGAGTCCTATGTTCATGTACCACAATCCCCTATTGTTAGAGAACAGTAATTCAGATTTTTAGAAAAATCATGAAAATAAATGTTTAAAAACTACCTGGAATATATCTTCTTTCATATGTAATTTTTTCCAAAATTTCTGGGACATATTGAGAATACCCAGCTTTACTGAAACTAAAAATAATTTGGAATAAATCACGGTCCATAAGGTAAAGATCAGACTTCTCCACCTTCTCCAGAGTCTGTAGGAAGTTCCAGAAATTAGAAGAACAAGTTAGAAACCAGTATTTTTTAACTAAAGCCAAATAAAATACCAAGATTTTAAAAATTAGGAACATACACCATCTAAAGGTTTAGGACTTCTTTTATAAAACAGAAAATATTATATTCCAGCAATAACTGTTATATCAACACCAAGGTACCAAACTATAAAAGTTCTCCTTCAATACTAGTGTCCTACAAGAAATACCTTTAAAACAGATATAAACTACACTTTTCTGCTTCATGCAAAATGGAACACAAGCTTACACCAATAATTTTATTTCTTATACAAATGATTTTAAAGTATTTTTATTTACATGACATAAGTCATACCTGCTTAACACGGTCAATGTCACCCTTTTCAGCATACGCATTCAATAATGCTAAGTATGTGTCTGGACCAGGCTCAATTCCAGCCTCTTTCATCACTGTGAGAATATTTTCTGCATTCTCTATATCTCTGGAAGTTATTCAAAGAAAAGAGAATAGATTACTACAACACTGCCCAATGTAATATTATCATTCAACCTAAAATGTATTACCCTATTCTTATTAAAATTAAAAATTCTTATGAATCATTTAGAACAATTAGCAAAGGACATCAGAAAAGGGCAACTATGTACTAAAATGGTTATAGGTCTCTGAAATAACAAAAATAATAAACATCTCAAATTTTACAGGTAACTTCTCCAAAAAAAAAACAAATTGCATAATAATCACATAGACCTTAAATTAACATGTCCTCTTTTATCAAGTATGCTATGACTCAGATTTACCTTTCTAGGGAAGAATAACATTTAGGAAATTACTCTTCAAAACTGAAATTGTTCTCCACAGGCATCAGGAGAGCAGTTAAAAGACTTTACAAAGTCAGTTACTTTGGATCAGGCCCAATTTTTAAAAGATGAGAATTTTCAAATCAAAGTTGTATGAAACAGATACATTTAAGTTATTTAAAAGTTGCATGTTCTATCTCACACACTCAGAATTTTTGAGGGGGATAGATAAACACGGGTTAAGAATCTTCTACAATTACTCTAATTCCAACCTTGCTTGAGAATAAAACCTTAGGTTGAACATTACCCAGCTCTTGCATGCCCCGTAACAAGGGCACTGAAAACTGCCTCCGTGACTGGCAGATCCTTGGTTTTCATAAATCCAAGAATCTTGCTGCAACAAAAGAGAAATGAAAATACTTCTTGAAAATATACATCAAAACCACTTTTTACGACATATATACATAAAATCTCACTCCCTGAAATTATTTGTTATATCAAATTATATATCTTGAACTACGCTTGGTAAAAATTGCAGGTTAAGTTTTTAAAACCTGATTATTTCTTCTATACTACTAATTAACCTTAAAAAGCATAGAGTTTAATAAAATCCATTTAATTAAAAATGAATTATACATTTCAATTTATCCCTTATTTCCTAAAACCTCCATCCAAAAGTAGCAATAAATTTTACACAAAGAAATAAAATGTCACAACTGATTTTATACGACTCAGCAAGACAGAATATTGCTAGTTTTATAAATGAATACAATTTAAATGGCTAAGAACATTTCCTTGAGGAAGTATCAATTTACAAAGACTAAAGCCCCAACTTTATACACCTCAGCAACTTTAAACCTCTGCTCCAATAAATCAAAGTTTTAATTAAAATAGCAATATTCACTTGTCTTTCTCTTCTTACACAATTTTACATTTTATCTAAGTCATATTACCAAATTTGCTAGATTAAAACACTTCTGAAGTAATGTCCCTTACTAAGAAGAAACTTAAAAAAAAAAAAAGGTGAGTGAATATATTCTAGGCTTACAAGACTTACGATGTGTTTGCTTAAACATACATTTATAGAGCTCCATACCTGGCACCTTCAATATCCCCCACATTACAATAAGCAGCAATCAACCTCTGGTATGTCACCTGTCAATGAAATGGGCCAGTTAATATTTTTTAAATACTATTTTTTTCCTGGGATTAAAAAAAAAAAAAAGTGATGCAACCAATGAACATTTATGTCAGCAACTACCTACTCGATTTGGTTGAATGTTTGCTTCCTCCATTTTTGCCAAGAAGTCAGTTGGTGAAAATTTATATTCATTTTGAAGATAGACTTTAAGTAAAGCATTGTAGTGACTTACGTCATACACAGTACCTACAAATAAAATTTAAATCAAATTTTTGCACTAAAAATCAAATTTTTAGAAAATCATATCCTTTATCACAATTAAAATATGGGTACTTAAATTTAACAAACAAAAAGGATAAAATGATCACTTCAGCGTTTCACCCCATACTTAGACCCATCTATATTGAAATCCTGTCAGAACAGAGCAAGTTAAGCATTTAAGACCGTAATTAACTGAATTACTGTACAGTTACAAGTAACTGCTTATTCAGATGTTAAGAGGTCTCTTACTTATGAAGCATAGTATTCCCTTCTTGTTGGAAAATGTTGACAATACCTCTGTATTTAAAGTGACTGAAAGATTTTTTGACAGAAGGCAGTTCTTGCCACAGTACAGACACACTAAGATGCACTATGACTAGCTGTTTTACACGGTTAGGGCGGTACTAGCAACTTAGCTTATTTACTCCAAGTGTTTCTTTGAAGGCTCCATTTCCAGTTGCTGAACACCATTACTAGTCTGCTACTATTAATTTACCCCTATTCAAAGCCCTCTGTTTTCTTTCTGGGTCCATCTTGCCTAAGGCCACAACAATCAAGGTTACCATGCAGCCTTCCTCTACCCACTGATGACATCAGGGTCACGTACCAATCTAGTGCTAATATGTTTTACTAAATTTGCATGAATTAAATTTCATATCTTAACTGCCTTTAGCACCATAGGCCTGTGGTCAGTATCTGGTGTCAGTTTGAGATTCCAGACAGCAGAGACCTAGTCTATTAAATTCATATTTATCTTAGTAGACATGTAGAGTGCTTACTATGTTTCAGGAACTGTGCTAAGTGCTCTGCATCTAGAGTCCCAGTTCCTCCTCACAACAGCTTTGAGACAGTTCCTCTTATCCCCATCTTATAGATGAGGAAAACGGACTCTTCCACTTGTCCAAGGCAACATGGCTTTGTAAGTGACCACAGATTTGAATGTAGGTGGTCTGCCCTGAGTGCCCAATCTGTTAACCCTTGCAATAGCTTATACAGGGCTTTAAGGGGAACCATGTGCAATTCAACATCTGCAAAGTGATTACACAACATGGTTACCATATAGTGTATGAAAACTTCTAAAAAATCATCAGTTCAAACTGAACTCTAATAATGGTTGGCTACAGCTCTAAAGCCGAAGGAAAGTACATATATTTCGCAAATATTTCTCCCAGTTTAACATGTGTTTTTAAATTACATGACTTACTGACATGTGGAGATTTCTTTTTATGAAATCAATTCTTTAACTTTTCTGCTGCTCTTTTACTGAGAAAACTCTTTCCTATTCGTAAGTCCAATATTCATGCATTCTTTTAAAAACTTTTAAAAAACAAACGTGTCATCAAAATTAATTCTAGATGAATTCAAAACCGAGGTGAGGCTGTGTTTACTCTATAGATTTTTCCATAGAGGTGCGACATGACATGTTTCTTGAAGGATATTCCTAGACATTTTACATATTTGTGACTAAACTTAAATCTTTTATTGCATTTTGCTTTCTAACTAGGAAAAGTTATAGATTCTTGAACATTTAATATTTCCTACTACTTTATTGTAAATTGATTTTCTGAGATTTTACAGGTAAATAAGCACATCATCTAAAAAACAGTAATTTCTAGTATTGCTTCTCATCTTATTTCATTGCCATTACACATGATATTAGTTGTTGGCTTTAAATTTTAACATGTTAAAGAAGCATCCTTCTGTTCTTTGTTAAGACTTTTAAAAAAAAATTTTAAGTGGGCTCCATGCCCACCATAGAGCCCAGTGTGGGGCTCGAACTCACAACCCCGGGATCAGGACCTGAGCTGAGATCAAGAGTCGGATACTCAACACACTGAGCCACCCAGGTGCCCCTCTTTGTTAAGATTTTTAAAAATCGGGATTGAACACTGAATCTTATCTAATGGTCTTTTAAATCATGTTATTTTCTTTTTTAAGGTTTTATTTATTTATTTGAGAGAGAGAGAATGAGAGAGAGCACATGAGATGGGGGAGGGTCAGAGGGAGAAGCAGACTCTCCGCCGAGCAGGGAGCCCGATGCGGAACTTGATCCAGGGACTCCAGGATCACGACCTGAGCCGAAGGCAGTCGCTTAACCAACTGAGCCACCCAGGCGCCCAAATCATGTTATTTTCTGAAGAGATACTATGTTCATAGTATAAAAAGCATAAAAAGGTAATGAGTAAAAGCATAAAAAGGTACAGAGTAAAAATTGTATGTAGTATTTATTACCCTTCCAGAAATATTTTAATATTGTACGCATATAGAGATATAAACATTTTTCTTCAAAATGGTAGCATACTATATGTACCATTCTGCACCTTAATTTTGTGGAGAACACCCACATTAGTATAGAAGAACTCCTTCATTTTTTTTTAACAGTTGCACAGTATTCCATTTCATGAACGCTCCATAGTTTATTTAACCAACCCTAGTGAGAGACATTAGAGTTGGTTCCAATTTCTTACTATTACAAACAAGTACAATAAAGGATATCCTTTTGCACATTTGAGTATATCTGTATCTATATTCTAACAAATGGAACTGCTTGGTCAAATGGTATGGGCATTCTTAACTTTGACAAACCAACTGCCTTTTTATTTTGTTCTTTTTTAACTTACCATAAAAAGTAATAATTGTTATGAAAATTATTTCTTTTTTTCATGTGAGTATAGTTGACACACAATGCTACGTTAGTAAATTATTTTAGTCTTAATGCCCCTAGATGTCACTGTAACTCACCAAATAAATATTACCAAGTAGCTCTTCCATAAAATAGAATTAGAACATTTATGTAAAGAAATTATTATTTACCAAAAGAAAAGAAATATCTCCATCTTTTACATATACACATCCTATTTTTAAACAATCATACCCAATTTCTGAAGTTTGTCCCATATCCTATGAGCAAATTCTGTTCTCTCGGAGAGCTGCAGTTCAGGCAAGAGAGAACCACAGCTGCGCAGGAGAAGCAAGGCTTGATTACCACCTGGGCTGCCTATGAAAAAAGATAACAGGTAACATTTAACACAGTAGCAATATCATACAGATAAATATCAAAACATAAACCGAAATCTGGAAATATTAAAAAATCTCCTCCCTCACTAAGATAGTACTAAAAGTACCCACCAGCTGGAAAAAACCTTACCCAAATCTACAAGTATCATTTACAATGTTCTAAGTTATGTTTTTAAAATTAGTTTGTTTTCTTAAGGAAGCTAAGGTTATGAGTCTATGTAATCTGCAAGACTCTATACCATACAAAAATACCCAGAACTTAATTTATAAGAAGTGCTTACTGCAATTCAAAGGCTAAGCTTCTTAATATCTTATGAAAATAGTACAACGCAGTACAATTAAAACCCATGAATACCAAATTTAGGTTTACAATCAATTACAAAACAATTAACTTCCTTCTCCCTTTTTCCATGTATCTACATGTCTCTGAAAGCTGACTTTTAAACCAAACAAAACCAAAAATAAACCACTTACTGTATGATTTCAAATTTATATAAAGCATCCAAAATAAGCAAATCTGCAAGGCCAGAAAGTACACTAGCGGTTGCCTAAGGCTGGTAGGGATGAGGGGTTGGGGGATAGTGGCTAAGGGTTTGGAGATTTCTTTTTGAGGTGATAAAAATGTTCTAAATGTAACTATGGTAATAGTCACACAACTGAATAAATCAAAAAGAGGAAATGATACAATAGCCTTTAAACGCACATAATTATAACTAATACTTCCTTTGATATCCCTCATCATTAGATCCCACAGCTTCTTAATGTGAATGAAATCCAGATGCACTTTAGGAAGCTGGTGCATGTTCTATAACTACATGCGAAATTATGTGCGTGTTTGCATGTGGGCTTGTGGGGGGGTGGGTGGTAAGAGGGCCCATAAGCTTCTACTGGATTATCAGAGTAAGTGACTCAAATAGATTGTAAAACTAAGTGAAAATGAAAGGGAAATAATGATTACCAGTCTTTCTGGAAATCTATCATACGTAAGCATCTTAGAGAAAGCTGACACTATACAACAGAAGGTAAGAAAAACAATAACTTCCAAGACAATATACCACTGAAAGTGACTCTCTTATAAACTGGGGAAAGCAAAAAGACCCATTTTTATTTGCTGATTTTGAAATAAACATCTAAAACTAAATGTTTTACTCAAAACTTTGCCCTGAGTTGGAAAGATCACAATCCTAACATAAAATCGTGATGATCAACAAAAATAACAAACAAAATTAAAAACATCAAATAATGTGTTCTACAGTGAGCTTGCCCCCAAACAAATATTTATTAAGACATTCAACTTTTTGTACAGAAAATTTTCAAATACCTGAGTGACAGGTAGTGTCAAAGACTTTTTGTAGAAGAGTCTTTGGGATGCGGCCAGTTCTTCGGACAGAATTATCCAGTCTCATTAGAGCCCAGTCAAACTGACTGGCATTCCTTCTATGAGAAGAAGCAGGCTCCTCTTGAAGATAATTCTTTTTCTCAACAGCAATGGCATATAGCCTGGCTTGGTTCAGCAGCCCTCTATAAAATGAAACCCAACTGGTAATTAACTAACTCAACTCTTCCTATATAAGTTCTCTTCTTAAGCAAAATTTATACAAAGTTTATTGGTTACCAAATACCTAAATTCTGGTGCAAAGCAAAAATGCTCAGAGAAGTATAAGATGGTAGGAAAGAAAGTTTTGCCTTTTGCTTTAAATAAAATCACATGTACACACAAGTTGTACGCAAAGTAAATCCCTTAAATGATTGTTTGATAGGGTCTTGAAAACCTTCTGCATGGAATCATTTCAAACTAACACAATAATATGGTGTGTTAAGTGTTTCGCTTTTTTTAAATTTCCCTTTAGCAAAACCAGGTTAATGAAAGAAAATGAAGCAGTTTATGCTACCAAACTCTTCTCACCTCTACAAATCAAACAAGAGATCTAAAATATATGTAAAATTCTAGGTGCCCGGCTAGCTCAGTCAGTAGAGCATGAGACTCTTAAAATATATGTAAAATTCTGATAACTGCTTTCAAATGTTTTCTAGGTGTAATCTCATTATGAATTTAATAGAAGACCAATGTCCAAGTTTAAATTATGCAGTTTTTTAAAGAATCATTCAGGACAAAAGAATTTCCAATCTGTCTAGAAACCTTTTAGTGACAATGTTTCAGTTCGCAATTCATATCTGTTTTCCATCTGTCAAAATGCTAATTATATACTTTTCTAGTTATTTTAACAACTGCAATCATCAAAAATAAAACTGGAGGGGCGCCTGGGTGGCTCAGTTGGTTAAGCGACTGCCTTCGGCTCAGGTCATGATCCTGGAGTGCCGGGATCGAGTCCCATATCGGGCTCCTTGTTCAGCAGGGGGTCTGCTTCTCCCTCTGACCCTCCCCCCTCTCATGTGCTTGCTCTCTCTCATTCTCTCTCTCTCAAATAAATAAATAAAATAAAATAAAAATAAATAAAACTGGATATCTGGGGGCACCTGGGTGGCTCAATCGTTAAGCGTCTGCCTTCAGCTCAGGTCATGCACGATCCCAGGGTCCTGGGATTGAGCCCCACATCAGGCTCCTTGCTCAGCGGGGAGCCTGCTTCTCCCTCTCCCTGCCACTCCCCCTGCTTGTGCTGTCTCTGTCAAATAAATAAATAAAATCTTTTAGAAAATAAAAAATAAAACTGGATTTTTGGTATTAAACATCATTAATTTTCAGAAAGCAAGAAAAAAAAAGTTTGTCAATTGGGTAAGGTAAGACTAGTACATGTGTGTTTATAAAGAGCAAACAGCCTTTAAACAGGATTTTTTTTTTTTTTTAAGATTTTATTTATTTATTTGACAGGAAGACACAGCAAGAGAGGGAACACAAGCAGGGGGAGTGGGAGAGGGAGAAGCAGGCTTCCCGCAGAGCAGGGAGCCCGATGTGGGGCTCGATCCCAGGACCCTGGGATCATGACCAGAGCCGAAGGCAGACGCTTAACGACTGAGCCACCCAGGCACCCCAAACCATTCAGTATTTTAATACAGAGCCTAACACGTTAGCCAAACACTCTAAAACGTGAAATCAGAGGTACTTCATACTATAGAAATACAGGCTGTACCTGATGTACAAATATCAAACTTAAAAATAATCTTTATGTGTGAGGATAACCCTGTCATAAATCTTTGAATTGAATTTAAACTTACTCTGTATTCAAACACTACTTTCTAACACACACACACAAAATTTTTTAAAGACTTTATTTTCGTGGGGGCGGGGGAGCTCAGAGGGAGAAGCAGGCTCCCTGCTGAGGAGGGAGCCCAATGCGGGACTGGATGCCAGGACCCTGGGGATCACGACCTGAGCTGAAGGCAGACGCTTAACCAACTGAGCCACCCAGCCACCCTAACACAAAATTTCTAATGTACAAAGATTTACACATTTATCCCAAAATATCTTAAACTTCCCCAATAGCAGCCAGTAAGTATAACTAAATATATACAGAGCACATCTTAACATGTTAAGTGTGATGTAAAAATACTAATCCAGGGATGCCTTCAGAATGATAATCCCATTTTTCTTTCATATGCACATCTTTACCACAATTACCAAAAAAAAAAATTAAGTGAGTTTAAAAATAAAACTGTTGGAGTGCTTGGGTGGCTCAGTCAGTTAAGCTTCAGCCTTCCGCTCAGATCAAGATCCCGGGGTCCTGCGATGGAGCTGCCCTGCCCCCCCCATTGGGGCTCCCCGCCCTGCAGGGTCTGTTTCTCCCTCTCCCTCTGCTCCTCTCCCCTCCCCCGCCCGGCTCGTGCTCTCCCTCTCTCTCTCTCAAATAAATAAAATCTTTTCAAAAATAAATAAATAGGGACACCTGGGTGGCTCAGTCGGTTAAGCAGCTGCCTTTGGCTCAGGGACTGGGGTCCTGGGATCAAGTCCCACATCGGGCTCCTTGCTCAGCGGGGAGCCTGCTTCTCCCTCTGCCTGCAGCTTCCCCTGCTTGTGCTCTCTCTGACAGATAGACAGACAAATAAATAAATAAATAAATAAAACTGTTGGTTTCCTAACCTATGTTATCAACCTGGAAAACCAGTCACAAATTTAATTAAGTATGTGATATTACATTAAAGAAAGCTACACCAAAATTTCATCACAAGATTATGTAAAATACAGAGGCAGTAACTTGATACTAGACTACAAACTCTCCTATTGTGATCTGGGACAAATCACAAGCACTCTGGCCTTCAATGATTCTACCTATGTAAACAAATTGGAAAACAATGGAAAAAAATCAGGACACTAATTAAGCAAGACAAAGTCTTCTTACCTTTACAAACCTAATGATCAGCACATTATAGATGGCTAATTGATTAGTTTGTTAAATAAGCTGAATTAATTAAGTGCTAACTACCTACAAACCACAGAAATATGTACCACGCCTACATATTTATCCTTTATTTTCAAAGGTTTTCTCTGGCCATACATCTGTCTAGGATCAGTTGTCACTAAACTATGCCCTTGATAGGCAAACACAAAATAACATTATTTTAAATCATCCAGAACATATGAAGTGCAGGTGAGTGTGCAATAAATAATATTGTTTAACAACGAAAACTGACTAATACAGAAATTTCAAAACTGTAGGAGCCTGGCTGGCTCAGTTGGTGGTGCATGCAACTCCTGATCTCGGGGTTGTGAGTTCAAGCCCCATACTGGGTGTAGAGATTACTTAAAAATAAAAAATGTTTAAAAAAGAAAAAGAAACTTCAAAAATTGTAGTGAAGTATATTTGCCAAGATCTCTTTTACGCAACCCCAATCTTGTAAGCTGTGAAAAAAGCACAAAAATAAAACCTTTGCTAAAATGCAGTTTTAAAATGTAAGCTCTAATACAAAATTCAGACAGAAGACAGAGAGGTTAATAAACCAGAATATTATTCTGAACATTTTAAAGCTGATTTCTCTCACAAATCTTTAACGAGGCTAAGTCTCCTTCACACAAGTATCCTCAACTTTAATTAGATAAGCTGAACTATGAATCCACCATAGAATGAACTACGGTGAGGGAAGGGTTACATATTTAACCAAAGGATTCTTCACTCTTCAAAAGAAGTCTCCAGTGCTATCGTACACGGCAGTGTTTTCATTTATTATTTGGCCCAAAATTTATTTTTCAATTTCACAGAAACACACCCAGTAGGAAGTAAGAACTTCATGCCTGGAACAGTAAGTATGTTGCGACACAAAGTAAAGAGAAGAAGAAGTCCAGGGGTGAAGGTGAGGCCATGTAGCGTAGACACCTACCCATCAGACTTGCACAAGACAGAAGGCACTGCCTCCAAATTCTGCTGACCAAAACTGATATAACCACATAAGGGAAAATTATCATTCCATCAATGTGTCATAAATGGTTCCTTTGCATCTCTGAGTTAAACATCTTAGGTTCCCTCCTGAGACTCTGGCACTCACCACTGATATTCAGATTACCCTTTAACTTTCTCTGGCAAAATCTGGCACTGTTTTTCTCAGCGTTGTTTGTTTTTGTTTTTTTTAATGTTGGCGGTGGTTATTATTTTGACTCTTCAGTACAAAAAAATAATGATTTTATATTTGAATGTCCATATTTCAAAAAGGCACACAGTCCAGATTATTATAAGCAGGCTTCCATGGGACTCCCCTCTTAAGCCTGTACTTTTTTCTAATATTTTACTTTTTCAAGGCGTTTTTAGGTTTACAGAAAAACTGTGCAGTGAGTACAGAGTTCCTGTATATCCTCTTCTCCCTCCACCCAGTTTCCCCTATTTATATCTTGCATTACTGTGGTACATGTGTTACAAACGATGAACCAATCATGATACATTACAGCCTGTACAACAGGGTTCACTCTGTATATGTACATACCTATGGGTTTTGACAAATGTGTGACAAGCATTACAGCAGTCACAGAATAGTTTCACTGCCCTAAAAATATCCTGTGCTCCGCCTATTCATCCCTTCCCCCATCCTCCTAAACCCCTGGCAACCATCTTTCTCCTCCTCTATAGTTTTGCCTTTTCCAAAATGTCTTAAAGTTGGACTCACACAGCATGGAGACTTTTTCAAACTGGCTTCTTCCACCTGGCAAAATACATTTAAGGTTCCTCCATGTCCTTTTGTGACTTGATAACGCATTTCTTTTTAGTGCTGAATAATATTCCATTTCACAGGTTTACCATCATTTGTTTATCCATTCACCTACTGAAGGAAGGATAGACATACTGGCTGTTTCCAATTTGGGCAAATCTGAATAAAGCATCTAAAGAAATGTGTGTGCAGACTTTTGCTTGGACGTAAATTTTCGATTCATTTAGGTAAACATCTAGGAGTGTGACTGCTGTATTATATGGTAAGCTAATGTTTATTTAGCTTTGTAAGAGGCCACCTTACTGTCTTCCAAAATGGCTGTACCACTCTGCGTTCCCACCAGCAATGACTTGAGAGCTCCCCAGGGCCCCACATCCTCACCAGCATTCGGTGCTGCAGGTGTTTTGGATGTCAATCATTCTAACAGGTAT